ATATTCCATTTGACTTACCTATTTTAGACCATTTTTACCATAAAAATTTAGATTACATCTCTTAACAGGAATCCCTTGTCCAGTTTTCCATCTACTAAATATCCGCTCACCTCCCCCACCCCCGCAAAAAAAAAAAAAAAAAAAAAAAAAAAATTATTGAATAAATAATATCCTCCTTTATTTATCGGCTCTAGGTAAAAAGATGGGGAAAACAAAACAAAAAAAAAAAAAAAAAGCACTTTCTAGTACTGTCAGCATCTATGACATCATTAATTTCAGCTCACCAAACCTAAACTTCACTTCTGACATGCATCTTTCTTTTGTTGAGTGTGAAGGAAATGGCAAAATTTCATTTTGCTCAAAGGGACTGAAAACGCAGCAATGATGCAAGACGAGGCTTTAGGTAGCTGTAACAAAGGAACCAACAATTTAATAATTTTACTATGTCAAGATATTATAAATAATGGCAGCTAGTATTTTATGGCTTCCTGTTGTAGCCCCCACAGTGCTGCTGTTGACTTTTCAGGTACAGCTCAATGTCATCCAGCAATCATAAACCCGGACACCTTTGTACTGAGTTGTCAAACCTACATAAGTCAGCCTCTCTGAGAAAAGAGCCCACTTACTATTGGTGAAAGTATGTTTAATAGATAAGCTAATTACAATTCTATTTTTGAAAGCTTTACCAAGGCATTTAAAAAATTTTTCCTCTTTACTCAAGACACATGTTATAGGTAAAAATGGAATATGTCCAATTCTAATAAAAAACCAAAAAGAATTGATTCACGACCGTGATACAGTCCCGACAGCCAACAATCAAACTGACAGCACAACACCCCCGGGAGATAGGCTGGGTGAATGTGGATTTGGCCTCTTTTGCACCAAATTCCCCTCGTCCACACTGGCTGCTCGGAGGGGACAGTTTTTATACTCTTTATTCCTCTGCCTGTGGCAGAGTCTCTTTGTCTCTTTTTAGAGTTCTTCATATTCAAGTTGGTTTTTTTCTTCAGTCTCTACTGCACAAAGCCTTCGTCCTGGAATAGATTAATGCTTCTCCCCAATTCCCGCAATCTTGTATTCAGGTGGCAGGTGTTGATGGCCCTGGTTATCTCAGATGGGTGTCTTTGTGGGCCATCATCTCTGGGCATCTCTGGATACGTGCCACCATGAACAACCATCTCCTGTGCAGCCGAGGTTTCCTTCGTATGTAAATGTCATGGTATCCCCTTGCCAGTCTGCCACGGTTTCATCATCCTGAGAATGAAATCCATAGCCCCCCTTTGTACAGCCAGTTTGGTTCATGTACTTTATAGAAGTCTATATTTTATCGGCACGGATTACTAACTATACCCCTAACAACACATAATCTTAATTCATAAAATCAAATGCCCAAAGCCAAAGCAGCACTGTGTCAAAGACACAGTACTGGTCATAACACTCCAGGTATTCTGAAAGCAATTTGTACCTCAGGAAAAGTGCAACATCTCTAGTTGCTTCAAAACTCTGCCCTCCAAACCTCAGTGTTGCTTTCTTTGACCCAGTTGACCTAATGATCTCCTAGCCGGGATAAATTAATTCAAAATCCCACTGGATATTTGCCTGGACTTGTGCTTCCTGTTGCTATCAGCAGCTGAGAAAAGGGGTCAGTCCCCTGGGACCTGGCACAATGAGAAGCAGTTAATGATGGCTTTTTCCACCTTTCTGTTAGGTTAGGCCAGTCCTTCAGCCCAGCCTCTCACTTCTGTTCCAGCCCTTGCACAAAGGAGACTATGGCAGCAGCAGCATAAAGGAATTCAGCAAACATTTCATGTAGATAGAGAAGTATTCCCAGCATGTGGAGCACACCTGCAAAGCTTTCTTGAGAAGGTACAAATGTGCCAGCTCTGGCACAGGGGGCAGACCCACAGCGTGGCTGCAGCACTGGCACAAAAAGAAGCATAAGAAGGTTGCTAATGCTTATTTTCCATCCTTTTGAGCAAGGCAGATTCTTTCTGCTGGGAGGAATTAACCAGACCTGCCATTCCCATTGCTCTGGTCTGGGCAGCACACCCTGAACCAGCCAGACACTGCAGAGCTTCTCAGAGCTAACAACAGAAACAGTTGGAGCTGAAGCAGCAGCTTCCAAGGACACTGTTCAGAGGGTACCAGAAAGATGTAAGGCATGCTTAAAGCTGTGGTAAGATGAAAAATGGGATTTTGGGTTTGTTAGAAATGTGGTTAGTAATTAATGGAAATAAAAGATGTATAAAATATATATGTGTATGAAACAGACTATTGGTACATGGAGGAGGGGAGAAATCTTTCCTCAGGATGGAAAAACTACAGCAGAATAGTGAAACCGTGGCAGGATGGCAAAACTGCGACAGATGGGCAAGGAGGCACCACGACATTTGCATTCGAAGGAACTTCGGCTGTACGGGAGATGGGCGTTCAGGAAGGCATGTGTCCAGTGACACCCAGGAGATGATGGCCCGGACGAGATACACATCTGAGATGACCAGAGCCATCAGCACATCTGGGGAAGCACATTGTTCAATTCCCGGATGAAGGCTTTGTTCAGCCTGGACCGAAGAAAAGACCGAACATGAATATGAAGACCTCGAAAGGGAGACAAAGGGACTCTGCCGCGGACGAATAAAAAAGTATAAGAACCACGACCTGAGAGCAGCCAGTGTGGACGAGGGGAATTTGGTGTGCTAGAGGCCAAATCCACGTCCACCCAGCTCACTGTCCGGGGGTGGTATGCTGTCCGATTGATTGGTGGCTGTCGGGACTGTATTATGGTAGCGAAATAAATTTTAATTTTTTTACTAAAACTGGCTATTTTTCATTTATAACAGGGTTTATAAACAACTTCTGGAAAAACAGAAAGACTTGTTTGAAGACAGGTCTTCTCTATGGAGGGGTTTGAAGACAATCTACATTTCAAGAGAAGAGGTTCCTGCAAAAACCTCTTGGAGATAATGGGCAAACACTACTTGCTGGGCTATGTTTTCTAGATAACTTTTTTCCTGGTAGACACTGACTCACTGAAATACATACCTCATTATTCAGTCTCCTTTTACTAACTTTTTTACCAGATACTTAATGAAAAAATGAAATCAGTGATAATTGCATCATGACTTAACCACCCTATCATTTCTTGAAAGTCAGTTTCTCAGACAATGAAAAAAAAAACCCATAAAAAATAAAGAGAAAGAGAAAAATGAAGAAGTTCCCATGGTCTGTTAGGAGCCAGAAAACCTAAGTTCAGCTTTGTCAGGAAATCCCATCAGGGCTTTCCAGAGAGCGGCATGGAATTACATTTTCAAAAGGACTGAAAAGATTTAGGAGCATGTCCCACTGTTAAAAGTGATTTAGACTAACGACCTTAAGCATTGTTGCATGCCCTGCTTTATGCTCTGTCTTGTCCAGCCCAGTGAGAGGTGGGATTCTGCCACAGCTCCTGGCAGATCCAGCTGCAAGGCGCAGGAACCCTGTTTCGACAGCTTCAGGATGGAGGTGACTGGCCCCGAGCAGGAAGAGCAGAGGGGACAGGCACCGTTCCTGGTCAGCACAACAAAGCACCTGTGGGGCAGGACCGTCCTCCCAGGCTGGGCTGGGAACTAGAGCAGCTCCCCGTCTGCTGCTCATGGCTCAGCTTCAAAGCGAAACTTCAAGGCAACTGCACCTTCTGTGCTGCCAACCCCTTCAGCAGGGGCCATCTGTCACAGGTCACCAGATACCCAGCCCCAGACACCCAAAAGCAGATGCCTTGACAGTAGCTTGTGTTATGAGTAAAAAGTTATCTATTTTTTTTAAGGTTGCAGAGTTAAAACAAGTTGAACCAGTTGCTGTTAAGTTAGCTTCATGTTGCAGCCACCTATTGTTGAGAATTCTTCTTCAATTACCTGTTAATGGTTGGTGATCAGTCTGGCTGATTGCCAGGGAGTGACACCAGACCCCGCAGGTAGCAGGGCCAGGGGAGTGACATCAGAAGTAGTATGCAGATGAGAATGCATTTCACCAAATTTTGCAATTTTCCAGGAAAAATCCCCTAAAAACAACGAGCCAACATAGAATTAAGAGACCTAAGTGATGTCTAAAGATGAGGAACTTAATCTAGTATCTGCTAAGATCCTTTTTACTTCTCACCCTAACCTAAGATGTTAACTAGAGAGAGGACCTAGAATGTTAGACTGAAAAAGTGGAATCTAACAATCTCCTGCGAGGACGGAATCCCCAGCTCTGCCTGCAAACCGGCGGACAAAGCTGCATCATCATCCTCCTCCTCCGTGCCACTCCTGGGAGCAACGGCGGCATGGGTGCGACCTGTCGATTTCTCCCCACCTGAGCTGATTCTTTTTAACAAAGGCATTAAAAAGGAGAAAGATCTCCTGCCCTATTTATTTCAGCTTGCAGGCTCCCTGTGCCACATCCCTTTCTCCTGCTCCAGTCTGTGATTTCTTTCTTGTTCTAGTGAGAAGGCTTTTTAGGAGAGATGCAAGGTGCAAGGCACACAAAATACTTATGAAAGTAACTGAAAGTGTTTTATTCCACTTGCACTTTTACAACATAACAACTATTAAAAATATTCACCTACCATGGTATGCTTGACCTAAATTCTTCAGTGCTGTTCCTTCATTTTGTGAGACTAGAAGTAAGTCCTAAATGTGTGAAATTTTGAACATGAAATATAAAAATTGATGAACCTATTAATGAACTGCAGTGTTCACTTAAAATTGACAGATTTTCTGGTGCTTTGTTTTTTATTGACAATAAATTACCATTCTGTGTCATGTAAGAACTTGTGAACTTTCACATGGGATAGGTAGGAGTGCAATTTTGGCCTAATACTTAAATTAGGTAGATGGTTCTGCTAAAATATTTTGCATTAAAGGAACTTTTCATTTAGGATTTCTATTGAACCATAATTTTAAAAAATGCAAATAAATGATTGGATGCCCTCTAGCTTTCATCTGCTAGATAAATCAAATAAACTTGGTCTAAACAAACTCTGAACTCCTGATAAATGCCCTGTAGTCAACCACAAATCAGGTGTCAAACTGGAGTGAATGCACTGATTTAAACTGGTTGCTTTTTCAGCATAGCTGAAAAAGGTATATAAAACCCAAGCCGAGCCATTAAGCACATGTATGTGGCCCACAAGCAGATTTTAGCAATAAGGTCTACCTACTCAAGCTTTTTGTTGGATCAAGACTTCTTGTTTTACCCATCCAAAGCTCCATTCCAGTTAAGAGAAATGTTGTCTGAATTATGGGCTGAGTAAGAAATTAATATGGACCCTGACTTCTGGCCAGACATTGGTACCACATAATTTCTTTGCCATTGCAATCCTAATCTGCTGTGCTATCTGCTGTTTGAAGCTCATCTCACTACAAGTTTCCTAGGAAACAAATTTAGGCTCACAGGTACATTAATGAGAATGGCACCACAGGTAAGTTTGGTTTCAGATGATGGACTAGCCCTGCCCCTCAGTTTGCTTGCATTCACCAAACCTGACACTGAAAATGGTCCAGAGCTCAGGGGAAAGACTGGAAGGTCTATGCTGCACCTTCTTTGTTCACTGCACACTTCTGTCTTTGTTCAGAAAGGTGAACCTTATTGCTTCTGAAAGTATGTTTTCTTTTTCCTGAGCTTTAAGTGGATGCCAGTTATGACAAAACCTGTCAGGGTTGCTGCTGTGCCAGAAACCAGGTAGGCAATTCCCAGGAATGGGTTACTTCCGCCGCTCCACACCACAGTTGAAAGAATCACATGCTTCCTCCCCTTGAACATGGTAACAGGGAAATCTGAGAGAAGAATGTTAAGATTTCACTAACAAAGTGTACATTATTTCCAGGAGAAGAGAAAGTAGTGGTTAAATGCTCAAAAAGCTTTCCAAGGCACAAAGAGGTCTGCATTTGCTGCCAAAACTCCTTTAACTTATTGGTGATGTTTCTGCTGTTCTGGATCCAAAAACCCAGCTGGTCTTAGGGAGGTGGTAGGCAGCTGGTGGTAAGAAACCCAGTTATTTTAGATACAGTCTTTGTGTGCATGTGGAAATACTTCCTTTTTCAAAACATTGTAAATTTCAGATTCATAATTTATAGGAAAGCTACTGCATTAATTTGCTGTGAAAGTTCAGATGAAAATGGGCCTTTTGGGAAGCCTATCATCATACTCCACATAGTCTTTGTGAGGGTAAATGCTCAGCTCTACCTAATATGTTGTAGCCAGAATGTTATATGAGTTTACCTTTCATCTCTCCCATTGAAGCTTTCAGAATAGAACCATGACAGAACATTTATAACCCCATTTCTATCAGCTGAGAAAGAAGAGAAATTTATGGTCATGTTGACATAACTCCTGCTGACAAAAGGAGTGGTTTAGTCAGCAGAGTTCCCACTGTTGGCTGTGAGGGGGCAGTTGCACCAGCACAAAAGCTCTTGTCAGTCAGGACATGGCCCAAATCCCTCAAGGGCTCTCCTGACACAGGGTTGTTCTGCACCGCTTCTTTGCCAGTTCATCACACAAATCCTATTTGCTTCCATGTCACTGTAATTGTCTAGGAACCTTACGGAATATGAAAGGATACTGTAGGAAATATGGAAGGTGTAATTCCCTGCTGGCAGGCCCTCTGTGAAGTGCTGAACCCGTCTGACACGCCGGTAGAGATTCCTGAACGTTGCAAAGGCCGACACTCGCATCCAGATAATGAAGTCATCGTTCACATAACCATTGTTCCTCTCATCTTCCTCGTCTAACAGATACACTGGTTTCTGCCAGTAAGGAGGTCTGGCTGTCCCTGGTCACAAAGAGACAAAGCAGGAAAGACACTGTCAGTAAAAACTGTGGTTGCTGAGATTCTGGGCCTCGCACAACCAACACAGAATATGAGCTGTGAAAGAGACATTAGACACTGTCCAAAATTATATATATGCCAGACATCAGCATCTCCAAGCATGTCCACTCACCTCAAACACAAATTAACAGTTTAACAGTACCCAGGGGCTGCTACACATTAGAACCTTCAAGCACAGGAGAAACAAAGTGACTTGCACAAGTGAAAATACTGTTTATTCTGGATTCTTGTCTCTTCAGCAAGCAATATGTTCTCTATAATGAGGAGCTTGCCTTCATTTTTACACATTAATATATTCCTGTACAACCAGAAAGGCACCTTTTCGCAGCCTAATGGCACAGCCTACGACATTTAGAATCACTCCCATGAAAATGACTTAGATCATTAGCTCTTGCATATTGCACCCAGCTCAGCACTGCCCTGATCCACAACAGGCAGCTTTTAGCCCCAGTTCAATAGAGATCAACCATAACAAGGAAATAGCCCTAGGAAACAAGTCTGAAAGAATTAGTGACAAAGGCAGCCTCTCATGTCTCACAACTGCCCAAGAATCTGCAAAGGCATGAAGGAAAGATGGGACATGCAATTCTCCTTCATGGATGTTTTCAACAGGAGAAAAAAAAAAAAAAAAAAAAAAGAAAAAGCAAGCAACTGATTCCCTGCTTTCTCTGGACAGATTAAGCACTACAAGAAACTATAAAGAAGGGTGTTGATGTGGCTAACTTCAGTCTTCCAAAACCATTTTCTCTCAATTTCTATGGTCACTGATTAAAAAAGTTAAAAGGTGGTATTTTGGCTAAATGTGCCTTCTGCTATCAGTCACTCTCTAAACCCTCCTTCTTCAACTTGCTTTCTTGCTATTTCTCCCAAAGGTGATTTTTCTAGGTGATTTTTCTGACAATAGGAGATATATGAAGCGGAGATAGGGGAAGCCATTGAAAAATAAGGACCACCAGCAGAACCATTCCTACCTGCAAATGCAGAAGAGAGATTGTATGATTCAGGATTGCGAAATTTCACATTTTTATCTGTCCACCAACTGTTTCCAGTCTTCAGCAGTGGCACTTGAATCACAGATGAGTTATAATTGTAAAACAGATCAATAGTATCTACAGGGAACACAAAAAGCAACACCTGTGAGTCAAAGACAGTCATTCTAATTATCAGTATGATAAAAAAAAAAAAAAAAAAAAAAAAAAAAAAAAAAAAAAGGCACATTTCAAGCATCTTTCAAGTGGATAGAAAACCTGAACATCCTGGGTGTGTATGGAGCACTGCACATTTCACAAGAAGAACTAAGGTACCAAAGTCTTGGAACTACTGAAGTTTTAAAGACTGAACATTTCCTACCAATCCCTGTGTATGTTGTAATGCTTCTCATGTCTATCAACTCCTGTGGGACTACCTTCTTTGCAAATCACTTTCTGAGCTCTCTAGCTAGTTACAGAAGTTACTGTCCTAGCTAGCTTCCCCTAGAATTTCTTTGACAGTTGTCCCAAAACTTTGCTATACATGATGTGTTTTCAGGGACTAGGGTAGAGATAAAAGCACAATCAAGGGAATCCAGTCCTTTGGAAAAAAACATTTGCTTTAGTTTTCTGCCAGTTAGAGCTTGCTTACCAACTTGGACACAAACACCTTCTTCAATCAAAAACCATTTAGTTAAAATTGTGCCTAACCATGCCATCCAGTTTCAGTGGGAGAACAGCACTTGTTTTTATCCATTACTATTTTCCTACATAGATTAGTTTAACATAAGGCAAAAACATTATAGGATGCATTAACAGCTCCGTAAACGCCTAGGCAGCCAATGGGATGATGGGCAGGGACAATCAGACAATACAGATGGGGAGAAGTTGCCTTTTAGGAGACACAAAAAGCACAACTCAGCTGCATAGGCATCAATGAAAACATACTTATTTCCTTCTACAAAACCTGTGTTCATGCAGCTCCATAAAGCTCAGACACAGTCTTCTGAGAAATGATCATTCTGTGGCCCACCACATCCCCAGCTATTTATCACCACTTCATTAACAGGAATTGCAATGCTCTGAGCTCTGCCTGCTCAGTTGCTTGTCTTGACTCTCCCTCACATGCTCCAGAACAGCGTGGGCTGCACACAGCTGGGCTTTGCTGGCCTAGGTCTGAGCCCAGCCCAGTAAATCCCACTTCCAGCAGCAGGCAGACAAAAATCAAATAGATCTAGAAGTTACTGAATGCAACTGGCTTTCACAAGTTCCCTGGTGTGGGTGGCGCAGCTGCTTGGAAAGAGCTGCTGCCTTCTCAAAACCTGCTCCATGGAACAGGTTAAAAAAGGGTGAGAGCAAGGAGTGGTAGAAATTGGAAGACATAAAAGATGGGGTAGTGGAGAAAAGTCTGTAGGTTTTTGTTGCTTTTCCTTCCAAAGATACATTCTGAAATCTCCCAAGTGTATTCAGAAACAGATTATGGCCACTAGATTACTACAAAAATCAAATCCAGGATCAAATTAAGACTATGTATGCTTCCAGCATTCTAGAACAAAAATGAAACTGGGTAGATCCAAAGATCCAAAGTAAAGCGGAGAATGTGGAGAGTCCCTCCTTCTAAGCACATGATTGTGGGAAAGCAGAATCTGGGCTCTCCCATCACTGTATAAGAATGTGCTTTTGAGCACATTTTATGGAGAAAAGACTCTTTTTCCCACATGAAAGTATGGGGAGATGAAAGCGTTCAAATTGTAGATATGGCGCAAAGGCCTCCATGCTAAAGTAAGCTGTTAAAGTAGCTGTGATACTATGAGAAGTTTGAACAGAGAAAGAGAGAAGAGTGATGAAGATCCTGTGCTCCCAGGAAGAAGATGATTTCAGATACAGAAATGAGAACCTTTGCCTTTAAACAGCTCGTCTTTAAAATAGTACCCTGTAAGTTGACATCGCCCATAAACACAGCTGTGGGAAAAGCTTGTGGAAAATGGGAGGGAGCTCACGATTGCAGATTTCCCCAGGCAGCTGCTATTCGTGGAGAGAGCCACGAGAGAACTGTACTCTTGCAGAGAATTCTCCGTAACAGTAACAAGAGAGACTTCTCTCCCTAAGTGAACTGAAGAAAGACTATTCTAGCCAAGAAATCTCAAATTAGCAAACCAAAACCACGACACCCTCCTTCTAAGAACATGATTGTGGGAAGGCAGAATCTGGGCTCTCCCATCACTGTACAGGAATGTGCTTTATAGCAAGGAAGTACATGAAATCTGTTGTATCCTTGTTCCTTATTTCAGGAGGGCCTAAATTCCTCACTCCTGCTGTACACTCACATGGAAGAGAGCCTTAGAAAATGAGAAATTTCCCTCAGTTTCCAAACAAGGGCCAAGTTACTAAACAGTAGGAAGCAGAGCCTCACGTTTACCAGAGGAGCACAACCAAACAAAGGCTTTTTATGAGAGAAAGTAGAGGCCTTGCAGTACCAGGTCTGCCCTGGCCTGAGGTAAGGGAATATTTTCAAGAGGAAATCAGGAAGGGGCAGAGGAAGGCCCCACGTACCATTGAACATGCTGTTGGCAATGGCCCCGCACGGCGCCATCGGGGTCCCGTTCCTGTAGGTGCTGAAGGGCGCGCAGTAGCTCCTCTGGATCTGCATTCAAGGTCACACAACAATCAGGCACAGACCTGGGGTTTGGTTTTAATTGGTGTCCTCCCATGCCTTCTTCTGAAAAGCCACTGTACAATTAAGTCTCCAGTACCTTTTGGTCACATTAGAGAGACATCAAATGGGTCTGCAGTTCAGGAACACCTTCCATATCTAGGCACAGAAACTTAAGGTCTTCACCAAATTCTACTACTGATTGCAAGCTCCAGACTATAAAAAACAGGTATGGGGATCTGCTATTGTAAAATGGCTACAACTGAAAATGTTCCAGTGAAGCCTTGGCTTACCCTAGAACATCTTATTTTACCTTCTTTTTAATTCTGACCTGGGCTGAATTAGTGCTGGAGAACAGCAGATGTAGTTGGCCAAATTACTGCAGGTCAACAAGGCCAAATCTTGATGTATGAAGATCCAGAATGAAAAACAGAAGTCCACCTCAGCTTTACCACATCTTTCCTACCCCATTTTATAAGAAACTATAAATCTTCAGGGTTTCAACATAGAAACAAATTTCAAGTAAGTCCAATGAGCTGTGTATCTGATCGGCACAAAAGCCAAAAGCAGCTGCATTGGATGCAAACAAACAAGCTAACAGGACACCTGGAGAGTTTTACGAAGTGTTTTATAGAAATGAGGAACATGTCTTTAGAGTTGTAAGAAGCACTTTATAGAAACAACAGATTACCATGGCACAACCATCATATATACTGAAAGGACATGTGGACTATGTGTATATTAAGAAATACTACTTTTAAGCCAAAGAAAATATGCTTTAGATTTGTAAGTAAAAGAACCTGAATGCCATGATTGCATTCTCCAGTTTCCTGGAAGTCTGCTGCAGGTGATGCTGTCTACTCCCTCTTCAGACTTCTGGATTGCATACTTAGAATGCTATATGATCACTTATTTCAGAACTAATCATTTCCTGCTCCTTGCCCGCTTCCAAAGCCAGATGGCGAAATGAAAGACTTAGAATAACTTAATTCTCTAGCCCTAGCTAGGGACTAACTTAATTCTTTAGCACAGCTTAAAACACTTCTGGCTAAGAAGACTGACAACACAAGAAGGAGATCTTTCTGTATCTTTATTTGAAAAAGCGTATTTTTAATCAGCACTACAAGGTGCAGGTTTGAGAACTGCAATACAGAACTGACATCTTTTATTTACCCCCCACCCCCTTCAACCTTCCTCTCTTATTAACTTATTAGGCATAATAGCCCCAACAAGCATAAAAGCCAGGACCAAACACTGAAAATCTGTACTTTATTATTCCCTAGAGCCACCTAAACACACTTATGGCTCTGCCTAGTTGGCTCTCCATGTGGTCAAAGGCACACCTGCTGGGAGTGCTACTGATCTCACAACAGAAAAAGAAAACTTACATTTACACTTCGGCCCAACAGTTGCGCGTCACTTCTTGATATCACATATCGACGGTGGTTTTGATAGAAGTTTTGCAGACCATAGTACATAAAAACATCACCCTAGAATCCAAGGATAAATCCCTTCAATAAGGAGAGTTCATGAAGGCAATAAAAAATCCTATTACTTGCTAAAAAAGAGGGGAAGAGAGTACTCATATTAAAATGTCTGTAACTACACCCTAAGCAACACAGCAGTCATGGGCTAGAATCTAATCTTTACCCTAACTGTAAGTTTTTATGTTTTGGCACAAAATTAAACATAATTTAAATCACCAAACAAAACCTAAAATAAAAATGCCTGATAATTATTTTACTCAAGATGGCATGGCTGGCCATGAACTTGGAATGACTATGAATCATATTGCAGAGACAGACACTCATTTTCCATAAAAGAAGGTGCACAAAAACCTTCAAATTAAAAGAAGAATGCTGGGCAGGTAAATCATGCATGAAAGGTAATTATGCAACTATAAAAAACCCATTACTCAGTGAAATTAACTTCTCATCTCAAACATCACTGTAATCTTAAGAATTACAAAGTATTTTAACAGCCTCCTCAATACTGAGGAATCCTAAAATGACTTTAAATTGCACTGTCATTTTAAGGGATCATTTATTCAGTACTAAGTATAAGATCTCTTTGGCAGAAAATGAAGCATTTTAACAGTCTCAACAACACAACCTGGTAGTTTAAGGAAGGAAACGAAGGATACTTTTTCCAAAAGAAACTTCAGAATCACATTGCTAGACTTGAATTATTTCAAGGACCTTGGGGATTAGCAGCACAACCTTTGTAAAAATGATTACAGGGGTCTACTTATGTAAAGTGGTCAGAGCTTCAGATTTCCTTCTCACTTGAGAGCTTAGCAGGGCAGCAACAACCAATCCCAGGCCAAGGGCAAAGCTTTGCCTCTGACTCAGAGAGAGACAGAGAGAGGTCACCTCCACAATCAAACACCATTTCCTCCACCCCCTTCTTCTCCTTGGGCATCTCCCAACCAAGGTGCCTGGTCTTGATTATAAATACCAAAATGAACAACAAAGACAAAAGTGTAAAATTTTGAGCATTTCATGTTCTGAAAAAGTACAAAGCAAATTTAGTCAGGAGCTCTACAGAACAGAATTACTGTCTTTTATAATTTAGGGATATAAGTAACAGGTGGTACGCAGCAACCTGAGTTGGTTTTTGCACTCACTTACCAATATATCTTCCTTTAGTGTGAAATTAATAGAACAGTGGCATTCCTTATTCCAGTTAGAGGAATTTTCACGGAGCTTTGAACAATCTGAGCATTTATCTGAATAATCTATCTGTCAGAGAAGTGAAAGCAAATATATTGTAATAAAGGACATGCTCATAGGAAAAGTTTAGTGTTTTAGGTCCAAGGCTTCTTAGAGCTGTTCTCTTCTAAGTGACCATGGACTGCCAAAAACATTGTTGAAAATGAAGAGGCAGAGTGAGGACTTGGCCTCAATGAACAACTACAAAATTTATCCCTATTTTAAAGCTGGTTTAAAGCCTTTTGATGTTGCAGAACTTTCACGTCTGCTCCCCAGCAAAGGAGTGCTGAGAGAAGAACACTCCTGCACCTTGGGCTGGCTGACCAAGTAATGCTTGACAAATCCCCACATGCATCATGGCCCAGCCCTGCTGAACAGCCTGGGTGTAGTGCTGAGTGTTGGCTCCAAACAGGAGTACACCACAGGTCTGATTAACCTTTTCTGCAGGAGGGATTTAAACATTAGGGCTCCCTGTATTTCAAGATTTTGCCCAGCAAACACGTATGTTCTTATAGTGTCAAACACTCTCTCAGGGATTTGCTTATTTCCCTTCAAAACCCCAGAAGATAATGATAAAATTTTGGTATTAGCAGCCAGTGCCAGTAGTTATCATCCATATTTCAGATATTACCATCCAGTTAATCACCCAGTGCTCTGATTTATTGATAACTGACTGCGTCTGAAGATTTTCACAGGAATACCAGCTGCTGGACACATGTCCAAGGCATAAAGCCATTGCTATCATCTTTATTCAAAAGCAAAAATTCAAAGTCTTTTCTCTCCAAACCTGGCCTGGTTTCTACTTTACAGAATATCAAAGAACACCACTCCCAAACCAACCTGTATTTCTCTGACTCTGTTTGCAGACAGGACAAGGCAGACTCCCACAGTGAGGCAGAATGCCCCTGTCAGAAAGAAGCTGGAGAGCACAGATGCAATGGTGAGCTGGGGCTTCCAAGCTGGCAGCCTCTGCTGTTTGAATGCACTGTTATCTGGACACCTGGAAGGCTGGACTTCTTCTCTGGGAAGAGCACTTGTCTTGTTTTTCATTTTCTTCTTGGTGAGAGAAAGGAGTAATGTCCTTGTGCTGGAGAGTGTTTCAGCTGAGATACTGTCTTTATTGCTGGGAGACTGTATTCGTTCTTCAAACTTGCATTATGGTGAGGAATTACTTATTAACTAGATCTCTCTCTTCCTTGTTTTCTGTATTTGTGCCTGGATCCCCATGATCAGCTTGTACCAATCAAGTGATTGTGTACTTTGATCAGGGTGTCCAGTTCATTCCTCCTGGAAAAACTTAGATATATTTTTCCTGCTCCACAGCTCATTAGGATTTGTTATGACTTATTCATTTGCAGGGATACTGGCAGCTATACTGGAATTTCTGTGTAATTTCAGATGCATTATTTCTTCTCCCTTCACATCCATAGCTGCCCAGCTAACAGGCATGGCATACAAGGAAAGGAGTTCTACTCCAGTTGCACTGGATTCCACTGGGGAGGACTGAAGGTGCTGAGACAGCACTGGACAGAGAACATGGCTTTGGAAGACCAAACCAATTTTCTTAACCTATTACACTCATTACTATTAACTTAGATGCAATTAAAAGTTGTAAAAAGGTTGTGTGTTCTTTATCATAGAAGGACAACTCACTTTTAAAATATCCAATTTGGATCAATGGCTTTCCAAGGTACTTGGAAATACTTTGGATCAAATACTTTCCAAGGTGATTTCCTCATCTCTATTCATCTAGTTCTCTGAAAAAGAATCCATCCATTCCCTATTATCTGCAATGACAAAAGAATCACCCAGAGATCACCTCATTTTAATTTAAATGGACAAATACAAGAATACTTTTTGCACACTTCAACAGTTTAACCAAAATAAAATCTCAGTATAATATACAGGTAATTTATCATGTAAGCACAAAAAGCAGCATTTGGCCAGCTCTAGAACAGATAGATGAAAAATACCTTTTTAACATGCTACTGAAATTCATACAACTTTTTCAAAGACCCCCCCAAGAGCAAGTAGATTACCATTCTCATGAGAGAAATACATGTCTCACTTAGGACAGCACAGGAGGGAACAGAAAACTGAGCTGTGCAAAGACTTTCACATTCATATTTGCTCATCTTCAAAGTCTTACTAGTGACACGTAGTAGTCGATCTAGCAGGTGAAAGCAGTGTAACTCTGATTTCCATATGACATTGTAACTGCAATAAAAATAATACTAGAACTACAAACAAAACTTCCGGGTTTTTATTAAAAGAAACCTCAGATAAAGTTGCAATGTGCCTTCTGTATTGAGACATGTGAAAAGTCAAAATTCAGTTGCAGGCAGGATAATAGTAAAATGCAGCTGCAAATTACTTCCTTGTTGGTAAATTCATTAAAAGAGTCCCAGCTTCACAGATCCATCTCTGCACAGCTTTATAATACTCTTCTCCAGTAGATCAATTGTTTCTTTCTTTATCTGAAGAAAACAAAAATCAAAGGAAGCATAAAAAGTTACTGATAATGACACCATTATTTATTTACTCAGGCACCTAAGTATAGGACTAGAAATTAAAGAAGAGATTCCTATACAAGGTCCTCTAGAACATTTTCAGTTTTTAAAATACCCATCATTTGCCCTGCAGCCCTGAAGTCCCATTTCACATGGCTACAGAAAGGCTGTCAATGGCATTGTTGATAAAGCACACCACAGCAAAACGCCCATCCTGGGCTACAGAATCCCTACAGAACTCTCCAGAGTAACAACTGGCATAAAGCAGATCAAGGGCAGTGCAACAGGCACAGCCCTGTCTGTGTCTGGGACACCTGAATGAAAGTGAGCATGAAGGTCAGGTCTGCCTGTGTTGTGTACAAAGTACTTTGTTTTATGACACTGGTATGACTGTGGCTTATGGCTTATCTAAAGATAAAACAAATATATTACAGAGTAAATACTGACTACATATTTCAGAGGGAACACAAGATTCTTTATCATCATGGTTAGTCCAGAGTTTCCTTATAGCTCCCTCTTACCACTTACAAATCACTTGTTTGCAGGTTTTCTCTCAGGATTATATTCTTTCATGCCTCCACTTTGCAGAGGAATAAATGATGCAAGAAAGCCCAGCCAGCCTCAGTTTCAGACTGGATGTGCTACATGAAGGTGAACACAGTTGTCTTTCTATCACAAGCCCATTTCTCACAAACCATTTAATTTCATGAAGTCTGAAACTTAAACAGAATATTTTCAAATTTACTGAAGGCTTGGTGTGTGTATTATTTGCAGACAATACAGTATTGGGTTTTGGTTAAAAAAAAACCAAACAACTTCATTTGAATTTTAGGAACAAGCAACTTGCGGAGTTGAGACAGCTCTGTATTGCCACCAACCTGTGTACAAAAAGCTTTCAAAGCAGAAAGCTTGTCCTTTGCTCAGACCAAAAATTATAGAATCCATTTTGATTTACAACTTTATGCTTTACTTCTATTCCAGTGTGCCAAGACAAAGTCTGATAAACTCATTCACTCCTCCTGTGTTTTCTTTGGGAGCTTTCATCTCCTTCTCTCTCCATTGTTTGGGATGAATGAAGTGGGAGACACAGAAACAGAGAATGAAAAATTCCAGAAGCATTAAACTAATGAGATGCTGAGGGGGCTGACAGAGCAGTGGATCAGGGCACCATCCCTTGTGTGGATACAGTGGCATACAGAACTGCCATGTGGAAAGATCCATGTGTTTTTAAATTCATATATTTATTAGAATATAAATATAATATTATAATAAATATATTATAATATTATATATTATAATATTATATTACTAGAATAGAAATATAATTCTGTGTACATAATTCTCCACTGAACATCAGGTGACTACCAAAACAGCAAGTACAATGGACATGTGCTTCCAGTTGTTCTTGATTCTGGTTTAAACACAACGAAATTCAGCAACGTTGCACTTTAAGTATGCAAAGAAATTATTGATAATTGAGGTTTGCACTGAAAATAGGCCAGTATGGCCTATGAGTTTCTGACTTTAAGTGTACCATTTTTCCTCCATAACTAACACAGGTGAAAGAAATTTTAATTATAATTTGATGAAACAACAATGATGGTTGTTTCATCAAACAGCTAATTCTCTAAATTGTATTTGGTACTCTCTTTCCTCTCTCTGTGAAAACTTATGACTATTCATAGCATGTATCTGACATTTTTCTATACAATTAGAAAAGCTGACTAGGACAAATTTTTCCATATTTGAAGCCCACAAGTTGCTAGAACATCCCATTGGTTTATATGTCATGTTAAGATGCCTTACCACCAAAACATTATTTGGGTGTCTTTCGCTGTTGACATTCCTTATACATAACTTTAAGAAATCTGCCTGATGTCTGCAGTGGGATAAATACCTACAAAATACTCTACTTATAAAGCTCAAGATGTCAAAAACCTTCCCTTATGATGTGTTCCATGAGCCAAGAGCAGTTTGAAGACTTTTCTGTAATTATATATTCACTATCCTGTAATCACACACAAATATCTATTGCTTATCCTAACACAATATATGATGGTCCAGTGTTCTTACCTACCTGGATTTAACTTCAACTAAGCTTTAACTTTTTATGCTGACAGCCTTAGGATTTTGCCTTAATAAAATAGACTTGGAATCACAACTTTTGGCCTATATTTCTAGACAGACACACAGAACTGCTATGAGTGAGCTGAAAGGTATACTTGAGGTTTGCAATAGCCCAAAATGAAATAGTGGCAACATAATCTTCATTTTTTGGAGGTGGATCACCTATGGTCTACTTTATTGATGCTGACTTTAGATGACTTAAAAAATCCATCCCACTGCCATCAACACCTTTTGTACTGCCTCTGATTTTATACTGTACTGTCTGTGATTTAATGTTTTCTATTCTTTACAAAACTTACAGATAAGTGCAAGCACCATACAAAAAAAGCCTTATGTATTAGCCACAAGAGGGAGCCTCCTTGCCACCAAAAAAGCAAAGGCAGGGGTTTTTTTGCTACTTAATTTCTTCAATGTATTTTTTTTTTGTTTTGTGTATGTGGGGTTGTAAAATGCAGCACATTCAAATACTTAGACAAGTACATAGATGGATTAATGATTGATAATTTGTTTCACTTGTGAAACAGCTTAATGTTTATATGCAAAAGAAGTCCTTTTCCCTGGAGATTCCTTTCATATATCGGCCTGCTCTAAATGCACAAAACCTCAAGACACTGTGCAGGAAATTGGGAACTTTCTAACAAACACTAATAGAAGAAACTGCCTCTTCATCTGGCTAGAAATAGGTGATGCCTCATAACATATGGTAAACATAGCTTGTTACAGCAAGAAATATAAAAGCTGGATTACAGAACTGGAAAGAATTGGGAATTATCTTAGAAAGAGTGTACAAGTGATGGATGGGTCTAAGTTATTTGTACTCTACTTCTTGTCAAAAGAAACAAAAAAGAAAAAAAAAGACAAGAAAGAAAAGAAAAAACAAGAGAACTATCTGTAGATTTACTTGTATGATGTTATCTTGCTCTCAGGTGGAGAAACATAGACATTTGGCTATAGTTTTGTTTAGTTTTTCAGAAAAGTTTTCACTGATCACAGTATATGCTGAGTTGGAAGGGACCCCAAGGATCAAGTCCAAATCCTGGCCCTACACAGGACACCCCAAGAGTCACACCCTGTGCCTGAGAGCATTGTCCAAACACTTCAAATCTGTCAGGCTTGGCGCTGTGACCACATCTCTGGGGAGCCTGTTCCAACCACCCTCTGGATGAAAATCCTAATACCCAACTTAAACCTCCCCTGATACAACTTCAGGCCACTCCCACAAGACCTGTCACTGGTCACCACAGAGATCAGAGCCTACCCTTCCTCTCCCCCTCACAAGGAATTTGTAACTGCAGTGAGGTCTGTCCTCAGCCTCCTCTTCTCGAGGCTGAACAGCGCAAGTGACCTCAGCCCCTCCTCCTATGGCTTCCCCTCAAGGCCTTCTCCATCCTCATTACCCTACTTTGGACACTCTCTAACAGCTTTATACCCTTCTTATGTTGTGACCAGAACTATACACAATATTCCAGGTGAGGCTGCCCCAGCTCAGAGCAGAGCAGGACAGTCCCCTCCCCTGCCTGGCTGTGATGCTGGGCCTGATGCCCCCAGGACAAGGTTGGCCCTTCTGGCTCCAGGGCACTGCTGGCTCAGATTCAACTTTCCATCGACTAGGACCCCCAGATCTCTTTCCATGGTGCTGCTTTCCACTGTCTCATTCCCCAGTCTGTCTGTACATCCAGGATGCCCCATTCCAGGTGCAGAATCCAGCACTTCCCTTTGCTAAATTTCACACAGTTGGTGATGCCCATCTCTCTCATTTGTCAAGGTCTAGGACACTGTACAAAGCCCTCCTGCTGAGGGAATTCCTGGGCACAGGTAGAATATCCATCGAGCATAAACAGGGGAAACTCACAGCACAACCACAGAAGTCACAGCTGTGACTTGCAACAATAAAAGAAAAATTATTTTTCAGGAGATAATTTTGAGATGTGTGAGTACAGACTTCTCAGTCAATGTGAACTTCTTTGTGTTCCTTTACCACTGAAGACAGCTTTACAGAAAGAAAACTTTACTGACCAAGACCTGAGAGCTACCAACAAAAGTACTTAATACACAGAACATAACATATACAGGTGCTTATACAATACCTCAGGGATGTCCATCATTCTCCTTAGTTTTTGATCTCTCCAGTTCCAATCCAGAATCAGGTATTTCGTGGAGTTTAAGCACAGGGCATCTAAAAAGGCAACATAAATTTCACTACCAAGATAATATGACATGTGCTTATCAAAATGATTTTTGGCTTTTACATCTTTTGCTGTCTGTTTCCAAGGAAACTAATCTTTGAACACTTAAGTACTACATTTGCTGCCTGGAAAACTAATGCACTGACACTGCAAACTCCCTTAGCCACATAATCTCATGCCTTTTTGGAAGATAAACACAAAAGCAGAACAACTACTGTTGCCAGACTTGTCAAGAGCTTAACATCCTGCCAGAAAGTAATTCCTCAAGCTTCCTCTTGATGAAACCACAGGAGTTGAATTTCCACAGCTGATGTCACTGGTAAGTTACAAGGACCCTAACCTGAAAATTGATGTTAACAGGAATAGAGAGTGTTCAGCAATTTATAGGACAGTGTGCTCTGTGAACATAAGTCAGGTCAGTGGTGCTGCTGAAGAATTCCTTTATCCTTCAAATAAGTGGTGGTGAAAAAAAAGGTCCTCTCTGAACTTCCTTTTCAGCTGTTCTCCTATTTTCCCCCTGGTCTTCTACATGATGCTCACCATTTTTTCCCATCAGTTTTGATTCCTCTCCCTTCCCTAAGTGACCTGGCACTGCAACAATAAACTGTCAAAAAAGAACTAGAGCTTGGGATAAAATTTCTTCCAGGGATGGGGCATCCACAGCTTCTCTGGGCAACCTGTTCCATTGCCTCACTACTTTCATGGCAATGTGCTGATGTGCTGAGCACTAACATTTAATGTTGGTGGAAGCAACAAAATGATGTTACTCCTACACTCTTTTGGAAGGAGCAGCAGAGTCCCAAAACACTGTCACTCCCTGACCAAGACACCACAGTCAGAGCAAGAAAGTGTCTTGCATAAGAGGAACAGAAAGAATTGCCTTATCATCTTGTCATTTTGTTGTTTCTTTTTCTTTGTGTACATACTGCCTACTGACTAAGTAAAAATACTCAAAATTTGGGAAAAGATTTATAGTGAGTAATTAATTTCACTACAGGCAAATGAGAAATAAGATCAAATCAGCAAGCAGATCTTTCATAGACCCCTCACAAAAGTTTACACTAAGGTCAGAGTAGCATAAGATACAGTGACTTCTGCTACTATTTCCTTTTGATCCACTTGCAGTGTTTGGTTTCCTGGAGCTTTGAATCTCACATTATGGTTTTGCAATCACTTTCAAGTCAGCATAAATCAGTATTCCTGCCAAAAGAGGAAGTCTCCCACCTCTGCCTGCTCATTACCTGATTTTGTGTGCACACTGGTTTTGGTTTAATTGGGGTCATTTCACTGAGCAACCAAACAGACTCTTGGGCTTGCACAGGGAGCAGGAAAAGGGAATAAGCACTGACTGGCAGGTGAGAGGAAGCATTTCTCTGCCTTTCTCTACTAATACTGGCTTATGACAGCTTAAAGTGATCATAAAACAGAGTACCAGAACCTTGACCTTGTTTTGACTGACATAGAACAAGTGAAGAAACAAAACCATACAGTTTAGTACCCAAATCTACATGTTCATGTCAACCTAAAAGAAAAAGAAACAGTTTAAGTTTCACTTCTCATGAGACCAAATATAAAATGCCTAGGGAGGAAACCCTCCTTGTTCTCCTACCTTGCTCCACTAGTGCCTTTACTCTCCCAGGAGTTCCAACCCCAATGTGAAACATGCCTTTCTCCAACATACTCATTTGTTCCTTTATCTAATTTGAAGAGAGAAAGAAAAATCAACAGTAAACCCATAATTGTATTAAAATTTCCTCTCAAGGAATTGGAAATAAATTCAAGATCTCATTGTATTTCTTTCTAGAACATCATCAAGTAACAAATGATATTTGCCTTTCAAACAGTCAGATGATTATATCTGGAAGAAAGTTTAAGAAATATAACAAGCCAGCTGGGCATCACACTTCTCTACAAGTTTAATCTTTTTTAACTTTAAAAATCTGCTATTGCACCAACTATTTTTAGAGGTGAGAACAGCAAGATTCCTTCATCATTTAAACAAATGCTCTGGAATACTGAAAAACTTGAATTAACTCTGAAGTCCTTCAAGATGAAGATACTGGAAAAAGGTGAAATAAAGCAAATGACATTTGTGTCTTTGACAGCATTTATATCAAAGGCCAAATGTCCATTCATTACTCCCAACACCCCCATAATTTTTGCTTTTTAACAGGTATGGATACTGGGGATCCAGGCATTCAATTTTCAGAATCCAAATGTGGGTGATGGACAGTGTGCTTCCACAGAGCTGCAAGTGTGAGCCTTCTGGCACTGAATGAGCACTTGATGGGAATGTGGAACAGTGAAACTCAGCAGGTGCACAAGCATCTACATTCTGCACAGAGTTGCACCAGAGCTACTGGAGATGGTGCTTAGTGAAATTCTTCACACTGCAGCAATGGGCTACCAAAGGAAGCACCACCTAAAGGAAGGAGCTTCATATGAGCACTGTATGAAAGGCACTACTGCCAAAGGATTTAAAAAGAAAATCATATCACACTATTTAGCTGCTTACTTGCTCTATTAAAATTCCCTACCTTTATGTGCTTTGCAAACAACTTGATGACTCTGCAATCCCCTTTAAAGGCTGTCATTGACCTAATAATGAAAAAAAATGAACAGTGAAACACAAGAAGCAGGGCTGGGCTTAAGACCACACATGAGGAAAGAAAAACCAACTGGCATTTCTCAGTACGTTTGAGACACACACAGTCCCCCCAATGAACTCTGGTTGTACTCTGAACGCTGTGTACATTCTTGTTTGCTACTCATCAACAGAGATCAACAACTGGACAGACACAGTGGAAGATATCAGGGCAATATTGTTTAGATAGCTTGTCAGATAATATTTAATATTATGGTCTGTGCTTCCACAGCTAGCTTAGTTCAAAACTGGTTAATCACTAAATCCTCATTAAAAAATAATTCAGTTACTGAGATAAAGGCATTAATGAATATGAGTGTGTGTGCAGAAAAGGAAGGATCTGTGTATGGACAATTCTACATTTCACAGTCTTCCTGCAGCATGGTTGCTGGGAAAACCTAGGCTGCCACTGTCATTACTGTAGACATTGTCCAAATTCCAATTAACCAAATGAATTTGTTAGAAACCTTGACTTGTTTTTCTGACACTCCATTTTGGCACACCATAACAACTCTATGTTCTGTATTCCTCAAATAGGAGACAATAAATTCAGTATTTGTTGAATGTCATTAAGACAGCTTGTTCTGCATGCTTCTTGCAGTGCAACAAATTTTTAATTTGCAAAGCTAAAGGTTTACCTACATCTAAACCACTTAAGTCTCAGGTGCTAGTCTCTGCATGCACGACTGGCACTTATCTGCCTTATCTATGCTTACATCTGTGTCATGGAATCAAACTTCCCAAATCTAAATCTCATTTTGTACTGGCAGATAAGTAGGGTCAAGACAACCATGAAATTTGTGAGGTATCCATCAATTCATCAGTCAACAAAACTTCTGGCATGAGAAGTGGGAGGATAGAGAAGGGGAAAAAATGGGGACAAGGCACACTGAAAATTGTCATCTCTGCCCAGCAGTTTTGCCAGCCTGAGCAAGCTGAGAACATTGACACAGACCTGAAGGCACTCAGGCCAGACACACCTTGGCACCTGAGGTCCTGAAATGCCATGTCCTCTCTGCCTGTGGTGCAAAGCCTTGACTTCTAGTGGTGGATCATGATGCTTTATGGGCTTACTCTGTTCCCAAGTATAACATGTTCCATGTTTCCCCTAAATTGGTTACACTTTACTTTTGGTTTTTAACAAAAGCAACACTTCCCAGGCAACTGAAATACTGGGCATTACTTGAGTTCAAAACTGAACACCACACTCCTAGAGTTTAAAGAAGGAAGGGATATTGCATCAGTTTGAGTCAGTGAATTTGCTGGCTAGCAGAGGACAGTGTCCCAGTTTTGCCTTTTTCCCTGTGGTTCCAAGACAAAACTCCTGACCGACTGCCAACCTCAACACAGCCTTTGCTGTTGACATACTTGATGAGTTCCAAGGAGCGAAGGGCAGAGCTGCAGAGAACCAGCATCACCACCGACTTCTTCTCCTTGTGGTTTCTCCGGAGCTTCGCCCACTTAGGACAGACTGCAATGGAAAAGCCCTTGTACCCACACAAAATACTACATGTCACAATTTTAAATTACTAGAGTACATGATGAATGGTAGCCAGCAGCAAGAACACACATGCTGACTCCTTTGAGGTCTGGAACTTTGGCATCACTTTTGCATTTAGTCATGGCTGAGAAACTGGAAAATGGAATGCCCAAAATAAATATAATACAGAAATATCACATAACTGAAGAAACTAGATAAGCATTAACAATAAACAGTTTTTAAGGTGATGAGCCTATTGTCTTCATTTGCCACATATGGCAATTTTTATCAGAGAAAATAATCTGCAAAGAAACGTTTACCAGACCAGAAGTTCTACATAAATATACAAGAGAAAAAAAAATTACTTGGTTCATGTCAGCAGCCAGCTGCAGGACTTTCATTCTAAGATAATACATACACCTACTCATGAAGCCACAATAAATTACTGACAAATAATCCCTAGCAATTATAAGAAAGCCTAGAACATTCTTGATAACAAAAAAAGTGTGATAAACTAAATAAGAGCCAGAAAAACAATACCTGTAATTAAAAAAAAAATTAAAAGCCTTAAAGTAATTAATATTTCATAATAAACAATATTTGGAGCTACATATAAAAAATGCAGTAATATTGTCTTAATAATATTTTCCATACAACTGTCATCCAGACCGACATTTAAACTCACTTTCCTTCAGGTATGAAGAAAAACTGTGGGTAAGATCATTGGCTGGCAAAAAGGAGGAGTCTGAAAACATAAAGGAAAAAATATTTTTGTTGGTGTGTTTTAACAGCAAAGAGAGAACATATGTTTGCAGCAAAACCACTAGTTATGTTGACGAAATCCCACCTTCATAAATCCATCACCAATAAATTACCATTTCTGAAACAAAAATTAATGTAGAAGAAACTTTGTATGGGTTAAATCAATGAAGGTAACACCTCTGAATTGCAATTTCTTTTTTTTCTTCCAGCCTGAAACCTTGAATACTGGGCTGCTGTACAACTGTGATCACATGCTTTCAAGGAAGTTTTCATATGTCTTTGCCACAATGAATCAAAGCCTCAGCCAAAAGCCTTACACCCCTAGATTGTTCCTCCAATGTACCTGTGATGAAATATGTTTGTACATCCCCCAAATTATTCATACTGTGCAAATGCAAGAATCTACCAATAATTTACTTGTCAGTAAGTTTGTTCACCTTCTTTGTGGCAACCCAACTAACTACATCAACCCTGACAGCAACATCTCCACTGCATTTTCAATGCCTTTCTCTTCCTCCATTTCCTGCTGACTTCCTCTTCCGTGGTCACTGTGTTAACTAGCAAGTCTTTTGAAAGCACTCTGTGGCAAACATGCCATTTAACTTCATATAATGGCAAAGAAGATCCTAACAGGTTCTTTGGAAGGTCCTTTCTCATGCCTATACAGAAAATCAAAGTTCTTAAAAAGGTGATTAAAATTCCATGGTCTGAAAACTTGCCACTGTTGTTAAGGGCTGTTTGCCTGATGGAACAATATGCTTTTGCAGAGCATTAACAATTATTTTGTCCTTAAAGACTTACATTTTTATCACCATCTTGCATGAAGCACAGCCCCTCAGGGTGTCCATGGATGTTTGCTGATAGATTTTCTAAACTAAAGAGGTTTCTTCAAAGACATTATTCATGTTCACATGGATCATGCACTATGCTAATGCTGAGAGCATCAATCCAAGATCTTCATCAGAACAGACAATGTGACAAACTTGCTTTGTAGCCAATGCCTGGCTCAAGTCCTGTCTTGCTAAAAGCTTTTATTTTGCACTGATTCCTATTAAATCCTGAGACTGACATTTACTGTAACTTGAGCTTCAAAGGAAATGCATATATACAACTGAAGCATCAGCAGTTGATTTACTTTAAAAATCATGTTTAAAAGATGCATTTGATGCTGGTGGGGATGGGCAGGGGCTGATCTTCTGAATACACAGTCCATTAATGACTGACAGTTCAAGAGGTCCTTTCTGAAGGACACAGCTTCAGTCACTGACTCCTCACCAACAGTGCAGCAACACTGCAGTATTTACAACAGTTTTAAATGGAAGTTTCAGAAAGGGGGGAAGAAACACACAGCTCCAGACTGCAGCAAGAGACCATGCTGACTTTCTGACCGACCCTGACCTTCTGCACTTTGCCAGTGAACAGGAACACACAACTCCAAAGTAGCTGCTTGTTATTGTCTCAGTGCTTTGACGTGAATGACTTGACAGCTTTACAAATTCATAAAACTCCTTGGCACTCTAAGCCTTCAACTCCCAGCAAAAAAATTAAGGAAAAAATATAGCCATCCAACACATATGGAAATGGGTCCCTTCAGTAGCCCAAAGGGCTCTTTTAATAAGAAAGAAACCAAACCAATTTATTATTTCCTAAAAATCTTATATACCAAAAAATACTTAACACAAGCTTTTCAAAGAAATCTATATGGGATTTCTCCAGGTTTTCTTGATCCAGTTACAAAGCTGAGACTGCCCCACAGAAATAAAGAAGGGTCCACCTAGAATCATGGGGATTAAGGAAGAGCACATTTACCTAGAGAGACAGGTTTATGCATTCATAAAGCAAAAGCACTGCTGGACTAGAAGGCTTCTGCATTGGGCATTGGTCACTGACAGTTCAAGAAGTCCCAAGGTGAATGCAGGTTGGTTACCAGACTGCTGCTCTTCATGAGCCCTACCAACAAATAATGGACAGTGTCTCTGTCTGCACAGGAGAGGCAGAGTGTTGCCATCATTTCCAGTGCAACCTCCAACTGACAGAAGCTAAGCGTGCTCTGTCCTGCTTTCTGCCTCTTCTATCTGGCTTTTAACCGAAGGCAGGATACAGGCAAAAAAAAAGGGTCCTCATGGCTAAAATTTGGTCACTTCACACATGGACCAAAGTTATCACCACAATTCATGCCACTCCCTAAAAAACCACTGCATTCAAAATCTCATGCCCATATGAGAATGATGCCTCATTATTTCTTTGTCTATTTCTGTCAGCCCCTTCTTATGCATTGACTCAGATAATCCCAGGAACAAAATACATCCCTCACAGCATCTTGGGAGCTACTATAAGGAATCATAAAATTATTATCAGAAAAGTGAGCTCAGAAATTAACACTTTATAATAAAAGAGATATTTAAACAATGTTTCATTTCCATTCCTCCAAACCACCTCACATTTATTCCAATGAAATTAACATTTCAACTTAAACAGCAAATTAATATACAGTAAAAAAGAAATCTAAGAAAATATTTTCATTAAAAAGTACAACTCAATTATGTCCCAAAAATCTTCTTTCCTCTGCAGAAAAAGAAGTCAATAGTATCATGAAAAAAGCATTATTTATATATTAAATACAAGATAAGTTACCTGACAGCTTTAATTCCTCTATTTCAATCACAGAACGGTTTTCACCAAAATGTTGAGTAAGTAGATTTTGTAGATCTGCAGGGACACCAGGTTTTGGAGCAGATTTTTGCAGAACATCAGAAATCTTCTTCTAAAAATCCAAGTAAAATGGATTAATATGGTATTTCTATACAGCTCTTTGGCTAGCTAACAACACTGTACATAAATGTTCCTCCATATCTTTATATAGTTATATCAGTTTAATTATGGCTTAACTGGGAAAACACCTTACAATGGGACAAGATTCTCTTTGTCTTTAGAGGGAATGCAGACTTCAGATGCAAGCTTGGACAAGACGGTCTGTGAGCCTGAACATTAAAAATCTTGTGCACTCACCTGCAATGCTGCTGTAATAAAAACTTAACTGAAAGCTGTTTTTTGAGTTTTGCTATTGCTACACTTTAGTTTCAGATTGAAAATTCAGCCTTTTTTTCCTCCTAATTTGTTTTAGTTTATTATTCTTAAGGCATAACAACAGGAATCAAGTGATAGTATATGATGTGGTTATATTTTGATTTAAACAGGGTAACTATCTATCTATATTTGGAAGGGAAGATGGTTAGCTATATGCACAGAATACCATGCCAGGATGGTGAAAATTAGTTAAAACAACAGAACCACAGGTCAAGCAGCAGAAACTCACAGCTGCTTTGTTCTCTTACACTGTAATTTTTTAAAAAAAACTAATAATTTTTAGAGACTGAACATGAGTTCATAATGATTGTGTTTTGCACCTTAGGAACTATTAAGTAACAGGTCTGAAGTCTCACTGAAGTGAAAGGATTGCTGTACTGTTTGCCATAATTAAATGGAATATGTGTGTAGAATAGGCCACGGTTCCCACTGACTGATCTGCCAGCACTTAAGAAAAGCAAATGATAAGTATTTTAGAAAACAGCAAATTTGCAAGGATAGAGGCAGTCTGGAGAGAATGACAAGAATGTGATGCCTCTCTAGTTCTTGCTGAGATGTATTTAGATTTTGAAAGGACAGCTCAAGGTTTCTCAGCTGTGTAAGCTAAACTGAACTCATCATGAAGGGGACACATGGTAGCATAGGTCTAAAAGTGAAAAGGAGCAAAAGGATGTGGTAGGATGGAGCAAAAGGGTCTGTATTTTTGAGGCAAAGTGGGATTTCACAGAGATGAGCTGGATCTGGAAGAATTTTTGGCAGCTTTGGAGGAATGGTGGGTACCTTCAGTATGGTAGGCTGAGGTTCAGGACAGCAAAGATCAATGAAAATTTTGAAGAGAAGTATGGCAGGATTTTTAATGTCAGGGACAGACCTTCTTCCATCCATTCCTTCCCTCACTCCATCTCAGCACCCACTCCCACTTCTCTTCCATTCCCCATCACTCTGTTCCTCTTCCCCAACACAGCCCAAATACTCCAACAACAGCAACATGAGGGGCAGAATGCTGAACAGGGAAGAGCCATCTGGGGGCTGCCAAAACAGTGAAGGCAAGGCAAGAGCTGTCTCTCCCATCCATTGCCACTTTGGCACCGCCTGTTGCATCCCTGCTAAAAGCCACCTGTGGGTTTGCAAGACCCCAGATGAACCTTTGACATGGAGGTGAAGTCTTTTTGCCTTCCTCTCAGTCTAGCTTTGGCCTGGTGCAAAGCCCTCTGCAGTCCCTGGAAGACTTTGTAGAGGACCTCTGGCTGTTCTGCAGTGCTTCAATCTGCAACATTCCTTCCCAAGATTCCCCTCCACTTACCACTGTTGTATTTTCCTGCCACGGAACAAGTGTCTTCCCAAAGCACGACCAGAGGCCGTGGAAGCACAGCCAGCCTCTCTGTGAGACCCACAACCAAACCTCTCCATTGTTCCTCCCAACAAACCCAGACGCTTTTCCCCAGCCCTGTCTCACAAGCTGCCTCTGAAATGACCCACATTTGGGAACCTCTGATTTAGCACACAGCAAGACAGAACTATCAGGCTCACTTTACTTGGTACTTCATACAGGACTGTTACGTCATTCACTGTGCCACTTGGTTCCTTCAGAAAAATTATTGCCCTCTGGAGGGGAGAAGCCTGATACAATGAGACATTCTTTAAGAGCAAGAACAAGGACACCTGAGCAAACTCTCTTCCTTCAAGGAGTGCTGTGGGGAACTGTTCCCCATGCAGGAAGTTTTATTATTTTTCTTCCAATTCATTCCAGATCTTAAAAACAAAAGGGGTTTCCCCCCTTTTCCTTACTTTTGGAGACAGCACTTTGTTTGGAAGCCACAGATCAATATAATAAATGTTTCCTAATGGGTTTTTTTGACAGGTTGTGTATGTCAGCTTAGTGGCCCACTGAAAGCAAAGGTGTAAGCAAGCAGCTGCTGTTTGCCTGAGAATGGGGTTTCTTGCTAGGTGGGTTTGCCAGCCTCTGCCATGGCATGCCTTCACTCTGGCTCCAGTGGAGTGAGTACTGCACTTACTGTGCCAGAGCCACATTGAAAGCAAAATCCCACTCTTCCCTCTTCCCATTCCCTGAATGACTAAGAGGGCTAACATAACATAAAAAGGCCACCCCTCAGCCTTGTGAGGGTGCCAACTATTTACAGTCTGTCCCCCTACAGAAAGACAATTAACTTGCCTGGCCAGATAATCTCCATTTAGACTGCAGGGTGTGTTTGTTGTTGTGGGTGAGAATGGAGCACGGCCAGAGGGACAACACAGAGTATTTATTTATATACTTATGCAGAGAGGAGAAGAATGAACAAGGACAGTCCTTGGCTCAAAAGATGTAACAGCAGCTGGAGTCTGACCACACTGTGGGAGTGGGTCAGATTCTGCAGCAACTAAAGTTCCACCTTTCTTCCATACAGTCACCCTTTCCTGGTGGGCAACAAGTGGGGTGTAGACATACACAAACCTTGAGTGGAACACAGACAAAATGCCACAGGTCACGTTGGGAATAGGTATCTCAAGTAAGGTTTAAAAATCAGGAATTTCTCTTCTTCTCTAAAAGAGGCTGCAATATTATGACCACATTACATCTCATCATCATGGGGTTGTCCCCATTCTGCATCTTGTAGCAGCACATAAACCCACTGCCCAGACCCCAAACACACTCTAGGACACTCATACCTTCTTCCTCCTCTTTGCCTTCACAGCGCTCTCTTGCTTTTCTTTGGGCTGACTTAAAAAACACTCTGTAGGCTGCAAAACACATTAAAAAAAAGAGGTAAGAAAAAAAGTCACCAAAGGAAGGCGAAGCTGCTAAGAGGAGATACAGAAACTATAATGCCGGGCTAGGAAAAAACAATTTAAACTGAACGTCCCCACCCGTAGATGGAATCAAATCCTTACAGCTATATGTATATAAAGTAATTTTGGAATTGAGATTGCTGTTGCAACCAAGAGAGGGAATAAAAGAAGAGAAAATTGAAGTGTTTAGGGTGTAGTCATAGTTCCATAAAATGGTGAAAAGCAGGTTTTGATACATTAAAAAAAAATCAGGAGGAAAAAATGAACAAAATCTACCACTAAATTTATATTTTTAATATCTGCTGTTGTGAATGATAATTTTTCTAAACTTTGCCAATAGTGTTCTAAAATAACTGGGTCTAAGGTGAGCATCCAGACAGTAAAAATAACATGGAACTGGGCAATATTATTTAGAAACAATCATGCTCTGAAGTTCCTTCTACACTTGTAATGCAAAATTTAGGAAAACATGTTTCAAATTTGTCCTACCCCATTCTTGCTTTGACTTTTCATAGCAGGCAGGGTCAAATACACACAAGAAAAATACATGGTGCTATCATTAACCCTCTTTTGTGCCTGAGTGAAGAGGCTGAATTGGTCCATTTGTACCAGAGTCCCTGTTCACATAATCCAGGGCTAGCATTTGACCGTAGCCACCTAAAATTGTCCAAAACAGAGGAAGCAAGGCACAGACTTCTCTTGTTCTGAGTGTAGCAGTTCTCTTTTCTTTTGCCTTCTTGGGGCCTTCTACCTAATGGAAGTGCACATTTATCTACACAGATAGGCTTTGGAACTTAACAAGTGACTTAATGAAGAGCAATGGCAAAATAGGCTGAGCTGCAGCAAAATGCTCCACACCACTGTGACACATTTGGCTGCAAAACTCTGCTCTTGTGAGAAAATGTGGAGAAGACTCATCACACAGAGCATTAAAAAGCTCAGGAACAGCAAATCCAGCACTCCTCCCTGGGGAAAGCCTGAAAGAAAAGTATCAGCAGGAAAGGGAGCCTAGCTGAAAGTCAGAGAGAAGCTGCTCCTTTGTTGCCTTGGGAAGGCAGCTTCAGTCAGGCCAAGAGGGACAAAGGAAAGGTAAGAGGAGTTCCGAGTATCTGGGCCTTTCTGAGCCCTCCTTGCACTGCCCCACCTTAACACTGAAGGAGGACACTTCATGGCAACCGGTGCTAAATGACCCAACCCAGCACACTCCTGCCTTTCCAAGCCCACTCTCACAGCCTTATCAGAAGCATTTTTTGAGGTTTAATTGTTCATATTATGCCTTCATTTCTCTTTTCCTCCCCACTCCCCTTGCTAAATTAGCTATTCAAACAGGTAACCACCACGCTCAACACAAATAAATGACCTCTTACTTTCTGTGCTGTGACGCAGCCCCAGCCACTGCCCTTTCCAAGGTGGTAGTATTGTACAGCCGTGGCTCTGAAACTGGTTGAGGATTGAAATGAAACTTAGGAATTACCAGAGAAGGTTTGGCTGGGGACATGCTACAGCTAAGTAGCAAGTAAGCAAAGCACTCTACAACTACGGCTGGAATGTAACACAGCCTGCATCAAAACCCATGGGAAGTTGTGATAGGGATTATATCTTGCCTCAACAACAGAAATCTGTCCCTATGATTTTCTCAGGTACAAGCAAAGATTACCATCACTAGAAACGATGTGAAGGGAATGACTGCAAGTGGAAACTCACTTTAATTAACAAAATTGTTCCAGAGTTAATATAAGTTTTTTGCTTTATTTTTGGTTTGTTGCTATTTTAAAAATCTCTGTCCTGACTCTGATTCAAGTGTTTTTAAAACACCACCATACATTTCTTCATTCCTATCCCTACCATTAGCATTCCCAGACACTGAGACTGAAACAGAGCTACCCTCTGCTCTACTCTTACACACCCCAGCTGTCCATAGATACTTAAAGGCCATTAGCCAGGTGTTTTAATAATAAATTTTATGTTCAACATCATATTTTATGCAGAGAACAAGCCTTTGCACTGCTTCAGTCAAGGGCTACCTACAAGCAATCAAAAAGTCAGAGAAGGGCCAACATGAAACTCTGTCCTCCAGCAGAGTATGATGGTTCCCTCTCCCAGTGGTGCTTCCAGCATACTGAAAAATATCACTCATTCACTTTGGGCCCATTTCTGCCTTCTTATACATCATGAACTGCTTAACATAACTCTGCAAACACTTCCAACTCATATCTGTATGAGAAAAGAATGAAATGTGCCACACAGCTGAAAAAATTTCTCTGAAAGAAAAAATTTCTCACTGCTAATCCTTCTTTCAAATATTTGGAAGTACCACCAAATGCCATGGCTTCTTTTTTGAAGGCAGTATGTAACTCTTTCTTTCAAAAGCCACAGAAACAGCAGGCAAAACAAGCACACAGCAGGTTTGTAGTCAAAGCCTTGCTTCCTTAGAGAGAAGCATGTTAAGACTCAAAATTGCCTCCTTTACACTGCATATATATATTTAGGCATAGCATATTATGCCTAAATTATTAGCCCAGCAATAGTAAATCCACGTTATTCAGACATTAAAAATAGTGACATAAAAAGAGAAATTTTGTGGTGGTGAATGGCTGTAAACTTATGCGTCTAAAATATTTCAGCATCTGATCTATCCTGAACTTCTGACCCTTATCCAAGCATTAGTTCCCTACCTACTCATGCAATAGCTCTTTGCATGCCACCCTTAAGAAAAGGTCATTTGCATGCTTCTCTTATGCAAGACACAAAGCAGACAACCACTGTTTTTTGACACGGCTCCCTCGTGTTTTTATGCTATTTTTACATGGAAATTCTTAAAATGCAGAAAACAGGAAATTTGTGCCGAGACCAGTGATTTATGAACTAAAATGTTATAAATTCCTTGTTTGTTAATCATACACAGAGTATAAAATATTTGCTGTATTATATTTCTAACATGCTTTTTTTCTTTACACATTGCCAAAGGGATGGGAAATTCAAATGTAGAGTGAAAACAGTCTTGCATGTGTGTGAAAGTTTACATTCCAGGTCAGCCACATACTCTGACTTTTGGAGTTTGTGACAAAGCAAACACATCACTGCATCACTCAGACTGGAGAGAGATCACTCATTCCACTGTAAGCCCGAGCACAGCCTGCAGACTAGGAACATGGATGCTCATAACTCTGTTGGGTTGTCTTGTGGCAGGCTTTGAGGTGTCAAGTCTATTGCAGAACAACTTCCAGCCTCTGAATAAGGCAGCATGAGTAAAATGGGTTTTGTTATTTTCACCAGAACTACAAAACCACCAGCTTTCCATAAATAACTCTGAATTGTATGTCTAAAAGATGGGCAATAACCCATCCATGAGCTCCCAAAAAGCATTTCCCTCTTGCAGTTTCACATCTAAACATCAAATTACCTGATTCCAACATGCAGGCGGATATTCTTTATATGACAGAAAGAGCAGTGGCAGGTGTTCTGCTACAACTGAGCAGTGCCAGGCAACCTTGGTAAGTAACTTGTGTTGGCTATCCTTTCTAAGACTCTCACAAAAAGAGTCAAGCAACCTTTCCAAACAAAGTGTCTTAACCTACTTCTAAATGCATTAGTGAAAATGGTGATAAAAGGTGGTTCCATAAGAATTCTCACTCCTCAGCATTTGACCCCCTGGCAGAGGATGTACAAAGGCAATACAGCTTTCTCCTGTATCGCTTGGTTCTCTTTCCTAATCAAAACATTGATCTCATTCAGATATTTGGATCACTTCACCTTTGGTCTCTTTGGAAAGACATCCAAAAAGCATAGTAATTGCTACCATGTTGTTTACACTTCTCTGTTACAAAAAAAGAACATCCCTGCAAATGGCTTTCACTTGGGCAACTGCCTAGGCATTACAGAGCGAATTTACTATTGACCTCGGGGTCAAAATTGATATCCATAACCTCAAGGAGAGATAGCTTCCAATGTAATTTTAGCTCTCCGACAGCCACTCAGTCAATTCTCCTGGGTGGTATGAGGAAGGCAGAACAAATTTACCTTCAAACAAGAAACTTCATAAAATCAGCCAACCTCTAGATGACTTTTTCCCTCAAACTGAGGTGATGCTGATGTTCCTTGGCATACTCCACGTAATGCTGAACAACACAGTTCCTCTTGGCATTAAATGAAGGTTTTAGCAGTCCAAGGGTAAGAAAACGTCAATCCATGAAGACCTAAATTCTTTTTAATTTGGACCTTGAACTGGGGACATGCTTGGGGACATGCATCTGTATAACAAGTAAATATAGCTTTCCAGACTTTGTGTGTGCAGGGAAAGGGAAAAAACTGCAGGGAAGGATACTCAGTAGCACCATCCAGGCTTGTACCACTGGACAATCACTTTGTAGGACAGGCCTGGCAATCTCAACTCACATAAAACAAGTGTGAAGTTATTGCTGAAATGTTCTAGAATGTGATCATTTCCAAATAAGGCAACATAATTTAAAAAAACCCCAAAAAACATGAACAGATCAGAGAGACTGAAGAAAACTGTACCTTTACTGAAAAAAGGACATTATGTTTCCCTATGTGTTATCATTGTTGTGCTAAACAATTACTTAATAATTTACAAACCTGCTTTCTTTTCTTTTTCACAGCAGGTTTGGAATCTGAATCTTGACATGTTGCTGTCCTGTTTTCACTCGCTTTTTCAATAGCTTCATCATCTGAAGGATCTAATCAAAAACAAAGAAGAGTTCTTGTTACTGTTTTTCAACTCCATCTATCCATCTTTGCATTCAAAAACAGGCATAAATTTCTAGATGAAAGGTTGTCACCATAATACAATCTCATGATAAATACAGCTGGTAACAAATACATTTTTCTTGCTAAGTTTGCTGATACTTCTTTCAAAATAAAGTTATTTCCTCCTACTAAAACAAGTCTTGCAGATGAAGGGAAAAAAATCCATGCAAACACATAAAAAAATGCACGAAATCCCCATTCCAAACTCCCAAATGCCTTACTGACACACATTAAAGAGGAAAAATTACAAGACAGGTATAGTGTTCTGTTGCATAAAAAATACTCACACTTCCTGCAAGTACATTTTAATTGTGTCTCTTACTTCAGCAATAATTAGACAAAGGTACCACTCCCAAAGTTTGAGCAGAATGTCCACAAGACTAAAACACACCTACGTTTAAAAGACCACTAATTAAATGTTGATGTCTCTACCCATTCTGTTCTTCATCTCTTTTATCTACAGAGAGACTTTGGGGAAAAAATAAATGCACAGCAACAGCTCCCTCCAACAGTGTTATAATAGTGCTTTAGATGTATTCAAACACAGACTTTTCTACTGGGGACTGAGTTACTTCCCTGATTATTCCCAGAAGTGTTTGCATCCATCAAACTGAATTAATTCAACTTCTGTAATTGGAATATAACTGCCCAACAGGTATTAAGTCATTATTGCAATCTCCCATATTCCAAAGCTGTAAATTCACAGCTTCAAGATCAAGTTATTTATTTGAAAAAAGAGGAATAGAAGGATTTCTTTAAGCATCATCTGAAGTATAGATGATATAACTGTATCTATGCATCATGAGCTGTGAACAGAGTAAACTGATGGCCAGAGAACATGAGAGAGAGAAAATCAATTATAGCTGGTATTTACAAATTCCATGTTGAAATAACTAATTACTGAAAAAAAGGTAAGTGAAAGGATACGTGAAAAATATTCAAAAGAATTTAAGCAAAAGGTAAGCAAAGGGATGAAAGAGGAGAAGGAAGAATCTCTATTAATCCACAAATGTAGCATTATATATTATGTAGCAATAAGGCAGTGGCTTTAAAAATCCTAATGTGACAGAATGGGGAACAAAATGGTACATATCTATTCCTAGAAAGATACCATCTCCTAATCTTCACTCCTTTTTCCCACCTTGAAAAGCCTGTCTAACAGTCAACACCCTAAAGTTGGGGTCTGACAGCTGTTAGGAGTTCAAGAAAGTTTAGGAAGTTGAAAGATAGTAAAGAAAAGCAGGGAATGTTTTAGCAGGTTCCATGCCATTTCTCATGAAATCTTACTTGACATGGACTAGATTCTTGGCAAACCACAAGAGCTTTAGAAAGAGAGCAGCAACTGAGAAGAGAATTTATTTTCTGTTCAGTAAGAGACTAAGAGACTCCCAAGTGAAGAGGGTAAATAAATACGTTAATGAACTTAATTAAGACCAAAATAAATGCCATGGAAGAAATGACAGCACTTGTTTGCATCTCAATACAGGATGAAGCCATTCTGAAATCTTAAAATAGGAATTCACTAAGAAAAGCCCTCGCTTTCCAGCTCCAGCGCAAATGCAGGAATGTGTGCAGCAAGTGAACATTACAGCTCAGCTGACCTGTCTGTTTCATTCTCCTTGCAGACACAGCCCAAATCAGAGCTGAATGGACTGTGGCCACACAAGTGCCAGAGCCCAGGCAGAAATGATGTGCCTAGTCCTGTACAGCACAACACATGGCAGCACGTGCACAGGGCAACAAAGAAAGCTCAAAGTTTGTTGGACAAAGCTTTTCCTTATATTACAGAGCAAATATCTTTCTCTTGAGGATGTCCAAGTGCTCCAGTACCATATGGCTGTCCCTGCACAGCAGCAGATCTTTCCTGCCTAGTCCTCTCCAAAGTCACTGAGCACTTATGTCCCCCAGGCACTTTGGAATCTCAGATACAACACTTCATTAGAAGAAGCTGAAAAATCACATCATTCAGCATACTCCAGAAAGTTCAAAAGGTGTCTTGGTAATTCAGTGTTACCACTGGCCATTACCATGGCCTTGTTGTCATGTGGATCACCCTTTCTCTGGCATATTTATTGTGCTGTATCTTGGTAGAGCAGCTTCTGTATTTAAGGGATCCATCACTGATTTCTGTCTTATTTGCCCTGACTCCAGAGATACTGAAAGAGTGGCCAACTTTAACACACACCAGCTCCACACCCCTGGGGTCTTGGACACACTGCATTGAAGCAGGCTGTGGAGAGATAATATAAATGAAGTACATCAGAGAAATCAGAATTGCCTCTTCATCCCTCTTGCTCACTGCACTTGAGCCCCAAACACTGACTCCAAAATGAACTTGTGCATGTTTCACTGAACTGAACTGCTGTGTGAGCTCTTTCCAATGTTTCACCTTGAAAATAAATGAGAATTGCATCAAATAGATTCAAGGGAAGCCGCCAGTGATCAGCAAGCATTCCTTCTAAAATCCTACTTGGCATGCTCTGAAAGGCAAACAGGAGTTGTGTAAGTCTTAAATAACCTCTTCTCTTTCTCCCAACTGAAAGACATGCTGCTAGCAATAGCAATCTAAAACTGGACAAATGGTTTCCATGATCTGAAATAGCCTGACAATGTACCACCTGTTCACTGCTCATTTGAGTTTTGGACAGCACTTCATGGTGCAGTGTCCTCTGCTCTCAGCAAGAAGTGAGAGAAGAGGACACAGACTCAGACTCAACAAAGGTCAGTTCAAATTTGACCATCTTTCTGTAGTATCTGAATATCTTTATTTCATATAACTGGAGAACTTTCTATCTATTCCAGAAACAATCACCCATGTCCCAGTCAGGACAGCAGCTCATCTCAAGCTGTAATTGTTTGTGATACCATGTCAGCTCCTGTGATGACAGGAGCATTTTGTTGCAGGCATCAAAGTACTACAGGCCAGACTCTGCCATCCATGCTCACATTAAACTTGTACTTTTCTCTGCAAATAGTTACCTTGATGTCTGTGGGGTTACTCGCAAAATAAATCATAACTTGATGCAAATCTATGCAGAAGCTCAGAGATCACAAGCACGTCTGTAACAGACCAGCACTGTTTGCCCCACTTTGAGGTGCTGAGCTTCCCAGGAGACCTCTCTATGCCAGAACAGAAGACTTCACAAATCCTTCCTTAATAATAAGATGGTGAAAATGCAGAACCTAACTGATTAATAGAAAGTTGACTTTCATCTGGCTTGAGGTGCAAAGGAGTGGGCGCTGACAGGACACACTGCTTGCAGGGTGATGCTGTTGAGCACAGCAATTCTCTGCCTCTGCTTCCCTGAGACTTACGCCATTTACACAACCACAAGGTCGTCCAAGGCATCAGAACAGTCACAAAATGCTCTCAATATAGAAAAATAAAGGGGAATTCCACAACTTTCCACTTGTTTTGCTTTGGTATTACATCAGCAGCATAGCACATATTAACAGGCTCCCCAGCCATGAAGTATTTATATTTGATCTTATTTTGAACCCTGCAAAAATGGAAAAAGCCATTTCTGCTTCACACACACACACACACACACACACACACACAAAGACTTCTTCATTTATATAAATCACTGTTTAAAATCAGCCACTGCTGATTTCTAACTTCTTTCAAATTTAGTGCTAACATATGCATGTAGTCTAAGTACATAAATATGTGTAGTAATTATACACATGTAAACACTTGTATTAACACATACACATCTGCATGTTCGGCATGTTTATACACATTCACATAAAAAGTACAAAGATATTTAGATAACAGGTTCCCTTTAATAATCACCTTTATTAACTAATATATTCACAACGAATTCATATTTTTTCATTATTTACTGTGGTATTTTTAAAGGCAAACAAGACCTTAGTGATATAGGATGTAATGACATGTGCTTTGATGTGAATGCAATTTTGTTCATACAAAATAGCTGGTACATACAAATTTGCATTCGCTAGACTGATTCGCCGTTACTCAGACTTCTGATCTTCACATGCCACTTTGCTACTCTGAAATTATTAACATAGAAGTTATAATGACAATGACATAAATAATTAATTCCTGTAAGAACTAAGGCTGACTGAAAAAGCGAAACTCTTCTAGGCAGGACACTTTCAAATGCCCCAAAATAAACAAGAAGTTATAACTGAAAATAATCTTAAAATTCTTTGGGAAATGCAGGTTGTGGTTTGAGCCAGCCTACGACTGAAATAAAGATAAATGCAGCTCACAGAAATTATGCCAGCCATAGGAAGCCTGTTACAAGACAGGAATATGAAGAAAACAAAAGGAGCTTTTTGAGAGAGGAAGGAGGCAAGGTTCTTAGAACTCTTCATAATGTAGAATCAACCAACATGTAATTAAAAAGAAAACTTGGAATAAAAATATGTTGTTTTGCATACATACCCAAAGATAAGTGAGAGAATAATTTCTGTTAGGTGGTTTTTTGTTTTGGTTTGGGTTTTTTTTGTTCTGGAGCTAAGCAAGATCAGGCTTGATCGGAGTCCAAAAGACTCCCAGAGACAGAGGCCAGTACAGGACAAGTTCAATTCTTACCACTGAATTAATCTCTGTGACAAAATTTGAAGGGAACTTGTTTTACATGCCCACAAGGGAGAATCTCTCAAATTTTATTTGATGTATCTCCCTGCAATTAGACATACTCTTGGTCAGAAATCCCTGGTTTTTTCCCTTATGCTTTCATCAGGGCTATGTATCAGTACTGAACTAGAATTACATGAGAACAAAGTTTGTACAAAATTTATTATGCCCCCCCACCCCTTTACTCCTTTCTGATTTCCATCCTTCTTTGCCTTTTCTAAAACTGTCTCATATCTGAAACCAGATTTTAAATAAACCTCTCTTCCCTAATTTTTCACAAGAAGTTCAGGACACTGTGGAAGCAGGTTTTGTATTTGTTAT